ATTTACAATTGATAAACCCTTTTTTTTCACTATTTTTCGGGGTAGATGAAAGGATTCAGCACAATTTGATAAACGGTAGAAAAGGGTATTTTATTCGTTGCAACTTGATAAACGCTTAAAACGTTTATCATTCTACCGATTTTTTTTTCAGTGTAGGAATTGGCGCTGGCCAAGTCGAATGAATTTGACTTTTTTTTTTCGTTGCATATTGATGTTCTGCTGTTGAATAATGATGTTGTCAGCTGTCCGTTTTTCTAGTCTTTTTTCGGTTCTATTGGCCTGACTTCGACCCCTTTGATAATTGATCCGTAACTGATATTGATCATCTGTTTCATTCTGCCGTACAGACCGTGCATGTTCTTTCTTTTGCTCGAGTCGACGTTGCCGTTGTTCTTCAGCTTGACTGTCTCGACTGGATCGAGCTCGTTCTCTGTCTTTCGCAAGTCGATTTTGACGTTGTTCCTCCGTCTGATTAACTCGTCTCAGACGTGCACGTTCTCTCAAAAGAGAAAGTCGGTTTTCATGTTCTTCTTCTGTGTCCGCCTGAGCCTGCTCGATTGCAATCGGGCTGATTGCTTTAGTGCGTTCACTTTCAATATTGATATCACTACGTACACGTCTGTTGGGAGAAGATTCAAAATCAGGCATGCGTATTTGAGCGACTACATTGTTCTTAAATGTTTTCTTTTCAGGAGTCTTAAAGAAAATAGTTTTGAAAATGAAAATTATTGGAACATTCATTTAAGGTGTAATCGCTTACTTTGACATTAGATAATAATAATTGATTCCTTTGATCAAAATCATATTGCTGATTTGGTGCTAAGAGAGGCACAAAATGATTCGGACTCCATAGATTATTATTGACCGCTCGCACGTGCATTTCTTTCCAGACATTCGACCACAAAATTGCAACTTCATAATTAGCAACGATCGGCGGAATAGGTGTATATATACTATTCATCACAGCCATGCCAGCTCTAAAGTCAATTTCTGGATAGACACTTCGTATATTGCATTTGAGTACACTACATAAAGCACAAACTTCGTACAATCCTGAATATGTATGATTTTTGCATATAGCTTTAATAGCTATATCAATAAGCCCGGCACGATGCATATACATATTGGAATAAAACGCTTCATTTATTACGAGTTCAATAATCGTGCGAACTAAAAAATTGTCAAACTTTTCCTACTATCAAAACACACATGTCAAAAACCTATGCGAACCTCGTAATTCACTTGCTGTTAGTGTTG